ATCCATAACATGGCTGTATGCACATCTGGGGAGATTGAATGCAAATATATCATATGAAATCTAATTTGAGAGACGTTACAATATCCTGCTTGCATTGTAATTGTGATTTTTGAACAGTGAAACTGCGTGATTACAAGTCGGCAGTCAAGTATTTTGAAGATGCATTGGACAAAGCAACCTTGGTTAAGGATGCTGCTGCTGAAAGAGCCATTGCAGTGGTAGGCATCCACAATGCTGTATCCAGCTATGGGGGTTACATTAAGCGGACTGTATCCCTTCCTGCAACACAGCTTGGCTGATTTATTTACATTCTTGGACAATTCAGCCACTCTCTGGCCAAACACTACAATTGACCGCATGAATGCCTTCTGTCCGCACACTCTGTTGCAAACATTAGGTGTGTACAAAGATATATTTACCATACCAAGTTATCTGCATCTATTGGTATATACATACAAAGATCCCCTGTATGGCCTATATAGACTCTTGAAGTAAGAGTTGTTTGTGAGCACCTATTGAGGCCAGTGTAGCCCACAATTGTGTGGTGTGGCCAGGACGACGTCTGGCAACCTTTGTTTCTCCAGATGCTACACAGATACTCATTAAAGGCTAAGTCAACCTAGGGGAGGTCTAGAACCAGTTCTGATATCACTTCCATTGATGTTAGCAGTCCCTGTGAATCGAACTCGGGCAGTGTGCCATCACTCTAAAACATTACCACACACACACACATCTGTCATCATGGAGCCAGCAGACATGAGCCGAAAACATCCACACTTTATTTGTTGCAGTCATGGATTTGTAATGCTTTCAATAATATACTGTATTGTGAAATCAAATAACAAAAACGCTTTCCTCGGTGAGTGTTGGCGCTTGCGGAATGTGTGTTTGGCTTTGATGCGATTTTATTTTGCAGGCTCTTGAGGAAGCAAAGTCCTTGTTGAACAAGCAACCCAAAGAGAGTTCATCAGAAGAGACAAAAAAACAGTCCATCATAGATGGTAACCCTCGAGTTCACACATTTTTTTCTCAAGCCATTAGATATTGTATATACAGTATAAATAAAAAAACAACGTGAATCTATTCCTGTGTGTGCAATGGTGTTGCTCTTTGGCAAAGTTTTAAGTGGTTAATAAACTTTTTTCTAGACAATCAATGCCTGACGGTAGTGGTGCGCGCACCCCTGTAGATCATTATTTAGGCGAGGGTTGGTGGATTACACAAAGGTTGTGAAGCTCCCTTCCCGTGTGCATCGAGGCAGCCATATCCTGGCTCACCAGGAGAAGGTACAGCAGGTGGATTCATATTAATCTCCATCAGTTTTCACTGGTACGGTGATAAAGTGTTACATACACCCCCTTGCATGCGTGAGCTTTCTTTGGGTACTCCTGTCTGCTCCCACATGCATAATCACTGATCAATAGAGTTGGTCAAACATCCCAACTTGGGTCACAGAGCTTGGGCAATTGTTGGCACCGGTTCTGGCTGCCTTCCCGCTCATGTGTAGTTGCCCACACCTCTGCATCTGACAAAACTTAATGTTATAAATTTGTAACTTTTAACTGTTTTAATTGCAAGTATTTTTAATCAAACTCACCAGCCCTACATTCGTGCGTAAATGAGTCAAACCAAAGAACAAACCTGGCTGCTGTATAGTATCAAAAGTAATAGCCACACGGTGTTGTTGACGTGCTTGGTTGGCTCTGGTTGTGACTTGCCTTTGCAGAGGAGGAGGAAGAAGAAGAGAAAAGGGACGCTGAAGACATGGAGAAGGAAACGGGAGAGATAACGCGAGGGAAAGGCAATGCCTTTCTTGGTGGCAAGAAAGGCAGTGACAGGGGATCGAGCGACAATGATGACAAAAACACAGACGAAGAGAGGGACAAAAAGAAAGGCACTAGGAGTGGTGATTCTGTTGCCGATGAGTTGCAGAAGCCGAAGAGCGCTAAGGCTAAGCAAGAAGGCAGAGATGGAGGGAGACATGATGATGATCATGCGAAAGGTCACAACAAAGAGAAAGGTGGAGCTGGTGTGAGCAGTTCATCTGAAGACGAGACAGTGAAAGAAAGTGGCAGAAGTTAGGATAAAGGATGTGGCAGCAGAAGTTAGGATAAACAGAAGGATGAATATGATGATGGTGTGTAGAGACTTCCTTTATTTATCCAAGCATTAAACATTGGTATTTAGAGCCCTGGGCCTGTACAGGAAATGTGAAATGTTATTTAGTGACTGGTACAAAGATTTTAAGCAAGACCTACCTGTTCTTGGCAGTGCAAAAAACTTGTGTAACACATCCGTTCACTGTTAGTTAATGACACTAAGGTAATACTATTATTCTATCCCCGGATGGATGTTCTCTATAAATAAAATAGTGGTGTAATTACTATACAGCACATGAGTGTAACACCGAAAAAGGAATTGCCCCCGTTGTTTTTTGCGTGCTAATATTTAACCGAATAGTATATTGCAAAGTCACTTGAAATGTGCAATGGTGAACGCATCAAGTTTGGATAAAGTACACGAATTTTAAGCACGTACAAATAAGTAAACACACAAAGTACTGTATACTATACAATGTTGTGGATTTATAGGTTCAGGCCAACACAGTAAAAATACAGCACCGTATTTAAAGTCAATTGTGTGTTGTGTATATGTACACCGGAAATTAGACTCACCACAAGAACCCACTTGTACGGCTGTAAACCTTGTGACTAATCGGCAATTAACTGCACACATGGTCGGAGTGAGGTCACAGCAGCTATTTGAAGAATACATTAGTTGGCAGATATCTGAAACTACATCGAGGTAATATAAAAAAACACGATTCTCTACCGTACTCCATTTCAAACTTGAAGAATGCTAGATAACACGTTGAAGACATGACTGCTTCATTTTAACACGTGGTAATCTGTGAACATTCATTTAAGACCATATTAAAGAAACAAAAGATGTTTTGGTCTGGTATTTCAAAGTTTTTCAATTGGCAGCCATGAGCCAGATGGAGTCTGCGAAAGCTTTTGCATTGGCTCACCGACAGATTTTTACGAAATATATTTTTTATTTGATCAGGTAAGGCCCACTGAGCTATATAGCTTCTTTTTCAGAAGCGACCTGGTCACAAATGACGGCTCAACCAAGTGGCTTCGCATGTGTAAATGTATGGGAGCCAAATACTCTAATCGCATGCTCTTAAATGTGGAGGGGAAAACCGGAGGACCCGGAGAAAAATCCACGCGACCATCCTGGCACCAGACAAACTCCACTCTACATCCTGGCACCAGACAAACTCCACTCTACATCCTGGCACCAGACAAACTCCACTCTATATCCTGGCACCAGACAAACTCCACTCTACATCCTGGCACCAGACAAACTCCACTCTACATCCTGGCACCAGACAAACTCCTACTCTACATCCTGGCACCAGACAAACTCCACTCTACATCCTGGCACCAGACAAACTCCACTCTACATCCTGGCACCAGACAAACTCCACTCTACATCCTGGCACCAGACAAACTCCACTCTACATCCTGGCACCAGACAAACTCCACTCTACATCCTGGCACCAGACAAACTCCACTCTATATCCTGGCACCAGACAAACTCCACTCTACATCCTGGCACCAGACAAACTCCACTCTACATCCTGGCACCAGACAAACTCCACTCTACATCCAGGCACCAGACAAACTCCACTCTACATCCTGGCACCAGACAAACTCCACTCTACATCCTGGCACCAGACAAACTCCACTCTACATCCTGGCACCAGACAAACTCCACACTACATCCTGGCACCAGACAAACTCCACTCTACATCCTGGCACCAGACAAACTCCACTCTACATCCTGGCACCAGACAAACTCCACTCTACATCCTGGCACCAGACAAACTCTACTCTACATCCTGGCACCAGACAAACTCCACTCTACATCCTGGCACCAGACAAACTCCACTCTTCATCCTGGCACCAGACAAACTCCACACTACATCCTGGCACCAGACAAACTCCACTCTACATCCTGGCACCAGACAAACTCCACTCTACATCCTGGCACCAGACAAACTCTACTCTACATCCTGGCACCAGACAAACTCCACTCTACATCCTGGCACCAGACAAACTCCACTCTACATCCTGGCACCAGACAAACTCCACTCAACATCCTGGCACCAGACAAACTCCACTCTACATCCTGGCACCAGACAAACTCCACTCTACATCCTGGCACCAGACAAACTCCACTCTACATCCTGGCACCAGACAAACTCCACTCTACATCCTGGCACCAGACAAACTCCACTCTACATCCTGGCACCAGACAAACTCCACACTACATCCTGGCACCAGACAAACTCTATCCTCTAGATTAATTTCCAACTCTGAATCGCACATTTATGATTCAATTAAAATACATTCTGCTCTCGACAAATGTAAGACAAATGCTTCCTTTAAGCAAATGAAACAGAGATTAAACAATACACCTTACAGAAGAAACAATAATACATCGAAAGAGAGCCAGAAAGAAAGTCATAATTAACACAGGACACATCATTGGCACGCCAGTCCTAGTGTTTTAAGTCGGTATAGGTATTCGCGTACAGGGACTTAACGTTTCAGTAAGCTTATGAGAGAGACAATACAAAAGAGATAGAGCAAATGCGGTAGGCGAATCGAGACGGCATAGAAGATCAACTTGAAACGAGGCTTGATACAGCAGTCGTGCTGTGACGGTTCCACCTGAAGACGGAAGCTTGTGTTGCCTCCGAAACGTCGTGAGAATTATTTTATTATGTTTTTATTTTTATTATTTCCCTTCTACGTGACTTTAGCGAAATAACCAAGAAGATGAATCCCTGCAGTCACGAAAGCTTTAAATCGAAATTTTACGCGACAGATGTTTAACTTCTTCGACACGTGCTATTGACGGATGCGTGTAAGCCAGTCCCAAACAACAACAACAACAATATGGAATCGATTCTCGAATCGCTAGAAACTTCTGAGTCGTGGAATCGCAAATCGATTCGGGTGAATCGATTCGTTGGCTCAGGAGTTAAAATTGCGGCAAACGCCGAGTCGAGGTCGCTTCTTGCTGTCGTCCTGGTCAGTGTTCCTCTACATTTCTCCTCAGAATCACCACTTTGTTTATGTATCTTTAGTTAGTATTACTTCGTGCGTGTGTTGTATTGTTTCATGTTGTACGGGGTTGCATTTTTTTTTTAATCATCGGCCCCCGGCTGAGTTGGAGACGGAGCCGAGTTACGGTCGTGGTTGTTTCGCGGCCTTGTTGCTATCGTTACTTTATTGTGTCTTTGTGTTAATGATAAGATGTTCACGGTGCCGTGTCTTCAAATCGGAACATGGCAACGTTAATTCGCTCGCGTAACCAAAGGGATTTGAAAAGCGGCACCCGAGAATGGGAACCTCCGCCGCGGAGATGGAGCGATGTAAATCGTGATCTAGATCGGATCTTTAAACAGCGGGATCCGTGGTGGTGGTGGGGGGTGGCGACTACCAAACCAGCCCTTGATTCAGCAGTGGATAGACCATGGCTGGTGGTGAATTCTGTGTAGAAGCCCGCGTTAGGCCGCTCGCTGTGGTACGCATCACGGGGCCTGAGGCCTTCAACGGCAAAATATAGACGACGTTTCAGGGCAGTGGGCCTTATTCATAACGCACGTTCATTATGTGCTAAGGCCGCGGGTGTTATTGACGAAGGTTTAGTGTTTTTTGCTGGTTATTTGTCCCCTGCGCAACCTCCATCAACGCAGCAGCATCGCCAAATAATTGGTTTCAAAATGCATTAACGAGGTGTAAACATTAACTGCCATGCTGTGTTTGATTGTTCTAATCATTATTGTTATTATACATGTGCACGTAAAATGTGTGGATAAATAGCGCAATGTTGTAATGGTGAGTGTAGTCGACGATCACTTGTGTTTATTTTGAAAGTCTACTACATCGGATGCCGCTATGTAAAGACGTGGTTCCCAAAATTGTGGTTTTGTGAATCATGTGGTTCTTGTGTTTCGTGGTTTAAAAATTGCTGAAATGTTTATCAGCTTTATCCATGATGCCACATTTGTCAACTTTATCGTGCGTTAGAGGTGGTGTCTTTTGCAGTTAATCACACGCAGATCTTTAACCTCGGATTAAATTATTTTTACCTCCTGGTTATTTTATGGTTAAGCGTTTGTTAAAACTAAAGGGGATGGGTTCCATTAATTATTGCGGGTTAGCCCTGTAATGATTTCGAAAATGGTCAGTTAATTTATTAGAGGCGGTCCCTTAAAGACATTTAAATTAAGTGATATATTTTATATGGATTGTTAAATAGTGGACCTATTTATCTCATTCGAAGTGAATACTTTTTATTAAAGGTGCAGTATTTTAAAACATTTGCAAGTGCAGTTTTTGAGGGCTTATATAATCATATTTAAATAAGTTTGGCAAAGTAATAGATGAATAACTTTATCATGTTCGTTTATGTGTTTGCGTTTACCTCGCTACAACAGTTCCACCTATAATGCAATGTGTCAGCACCATTTTATAATTTTGGCTCTTTCTGACACATTTTACTTGTGCAATTCGACCTCATTAATTGTTAATACATTTTTTTTACTATCTAGGGGACTTTCTTCGTGTCTTAAATATGAAAGTATATGAGAGACGACATTTCGAACAAAGGCCCTTAATCATAAGTACATACTTGGGTAGGGAGATGCCGGATAGGGAGGGATATTCACGTAATTGTGCGATGAACAAGTGTCAAAATTAAGGAGATGTTACATAAAAATTACGCAAGTGGCTCTGACATCTATTCACGTGGTGCAATAATGTGTGTTATACAACGGTCATTCTTTGAGTCATGTGCACAATTGGACTTTTGAAGCCCTTCTTGGGTAAGGTGCTTCTACTGATCATAAACAAGTAAAGCCTCCCATTTTAAAAACAAACAGGGTGGATTTAATTATTTACTAAGTAATTGTACGGTTGTTTTAGCTTTCAGGCTTATGTTGGCTGTGTTCACACAACCTACATATGGTGATATAAATAACTGCAGCGTTGATTTAAACCATGATGTACCTTGGTAATCGCATGTCTTTGAAAATTATAACGTCCTTGGTGGGTATTTGCTAATTTTGTATGATTTTGACTTAAAACTTTCGTGACTGCAGGAATTCATATTCTTTGGTTCTTTCTGTAAAGTCACGTAGATAGAAAATATAAATAAATGTATATTCACTCCACATGGGTAATATGGTATCGTAACAAATTACTGTTGGACCTGCGTGGAGGTAGGTGCAAGTCGTCTTATGCGATCCATGCTGTCTGCACCATTTAGAGCGTGATCATATAGCTATCCTCTCAGTACGTGGGAGTGATGGGGCAGCGGTTAGTGCACTGTGCCATGAAGTCGGTGGACATGAGTTCGATACCCGGCCAAAGCTCGCATCAATGGAGAATTATATCAGAAGTGGGCTTCCTTGCCCCCCCCCCCCCACCGCTTTTACCAACCATAAATTTCAGCAATCTATTTCATAACACTGCTAGAACGCAATATTAAACCTACTATAGAGCTATGCTACCAGAGAGATGGAGTTTTGGCTTGTCATTTTTACTTTCCAAAGTAACCAAATGTAAGAATTATTGAATGCTTCCACGCGTTTTTTTAAGCATCTCAAGACAAACAATCTGCTGATTTTTAGCACCCCGAATGTGTTTGTAATCCTTGTTTACTCTCTTTCCCTTTGCCCTCCTTTCCCCACCACTGTGTGTGTGCCCTCTTCCACCCCATCTCATAAAACAGGGATCAAAAGTGGTTTTTACAACACGCGTGTGGTTTTTACTGCGTTTGATAACAACGGTCAAATGTTATCGGCAATTTTATTTGAAGCTTTCGTGACTGCACAAATCCATACTCTTTGGTTCTTTCTGTAAAGTCACGTAGATAGAAAATTAATAGATCACGACGTTTCAATCGCAACCGTCATCAGGTGAGACAAACACAGCAGGAGAACTGCTGACGCAGTTAACGGATTCTTATTGGCCTTGAGTATTCCTTGTTGAATTACTGACGTTACAATTTAAAACGCAGTACACCTTCGACTATTCCTCCCAATTGGAGAGAATCAAAAAGTGTGGGTCGCAGTTCTATGCAGGCGTGTAAGTATGGCCCAGCGGAAACACGTTCGCCACCAGTTGCAGAGGTTAACGGTTCGAATCCAGTGCCAACAGTCCTAATTAATACTGCGGGTGTTATTAACCGTGACGACACGTGTCGTCTGCTTTCCAGTGGATGTTAAAAATCCCGTGACGTCTATGGGAAGAGTAGGCTATTTTGTGCCGGCATAATGGTCCCAAGGTAATCCACTCCTGGCAAGACCTCCCAAAGCTGTCGCCATTCCTCGTTCTCCTCTGATACAATAATCCATCTGCACCCGCGCACAAACACACACACGGCACACGCACGCACGCACACAAAGTTCCACGTATAGCCTTAACAGACCTGGCAAGTGCTGTTGGCGAACACGGGACGCGAGAGGGTGGGTGGCTAGCACCACTCCTGACTGCTTTTGTATCCCCGATATTTACACAACGCACCAGGTACTTATTTGAAGCTGAGTCGACCTAGGGGAGGCCAAGGACCGGTTCAGATAATCGTCACTGGTGTTGGCCGTGAGCTGGAATCGAACACGGCTCGCGGGGTTCATTGTGCAGCACGCCAACCGCCACGCTCCTCTGATGCAATAATCCACGTGTACATGGTCAAATGTTATTTTTGTGCTGTTATATGTATTACAATTGACGTTCCTGTTATAGTGGAAAAACATTAAACAATTATTGTATGTACCTCTTGGTGGTTGACATGAACGATACGTACACTGTCACCTCTACTTAAGGGTATATACCTATGTAGAACTTCTTTCGCACCGTACGTAGCCAATGGGGGGCCCAACAAATGAAATAGCAGTTGGCTGTCACTGCTGTGCATTACGCCATTTGGGTGGTGTGTTGAGCTCGCATCGTCCATGAAGGGTCTTTGGTCCCATTCAGCAAGGGGTGTATTGGCAAACGTGTAAACATTACCTGCCACGCATTGTGACTCACATGACTGGTGACGACACATGTATTGGGAAATACGCAGACAAGCCTGCATTCTTGAGCTGAATGCACAGCTGTGTACCTTTGAGCATCATTGTTCAGTAATGGTTTGAGACTGCATTGACAAGTACATAATATGACATTAAAATGGGGCTTGCCTTTTATTATTGGCCAGTGGGTGAACTGTTTGAACTGTTTTTGCAGGCTACCGTGGAGAGCTGTGCACGTGCCATGAATTAATAGTTATATAATCACACTGGCTTTGAGTTCAATCGCGTTGACAGCTTTTTTTGGTCAGCTTGGAGGAACTAAACAAATCGATCTTTTGGTAACGTTTATGATAAGCAGTTTGCTCGAGCGGTTGCCGAATATACAGTGCCTCCGCGTGGTCGGCTTAATCAAACACTCCTTTTTATTTCGCCTCGGAAACGCCACCAACAAACCCAGCGTCTATGAAATGCGCATAGGTCACTGATAATAAATGACAATGCAATAATTTTCTGTTTTTGGGCTACCATAACTGATTTGAGCCATTTTCTGTTTTTTTTTTAATTTATGCGAGCGATTTTAAATGTCCCCCTGCACTTAGTTTTGTGATTGGATCCTCCTGATCTATACTAGCCCATGAAGGGTCCAATACTTCATACTCGCACTTTTATAGTGTGCAGTTGATGCTTAAGTAAATTGAATTCACACAGCACGTGATCTCAGTGATTGGATAGGTGACAACCATGCATAGCGAGCTTGTATGTAGGCTGTTGGGCTATGCAACAGAGATCCGTTGTTGTACTGTACTTCTCTGCGCCCACGTCTATGCTGCCTGCCCCTACTAACCCACACTAACCAGTGAAGCGAAGTATGGATAATTGAACCTCCATGACCTGTACGGCACGAGGAGGCCTTCAGAGAATTTCGAAAATAGCTTCATATATACATGATATGTACATGAAGCTTGGCACTGATGTTGTGTCAGTCAGAAAAAAAATCCAAAATCATGTTAATGACGATGGTGTTTGTCTCGCAGAACCATTTGGCGGTGAGCTTCACAACAAAGAGTTTGCGCGCATCTTTGAAAGGCAGCTCAGTGGGGGCGAGCAGGAGATTTTCATTCCTGAACAATGGGCTCTACGGCGTCGCGGTACAAGACTTTCGGCGGCGGCGGTGGCAATGACAGCTCGGGACCTCTCGCGTCCGGGAGCCCCAACGGGAACTTGGGGGTGCTGCCATCTCGAGATGAGGACATCGGAGAGGGGACGGCTGTGGCGCCTGCCGACATCTCGCAGTTCCCCTACGTTGAGTTCACGGGCAGAGACAGCGTGACGTGCCCCACTTGCCAGGGCACAGGACGTATACCCAGAGGTACGGGTAACAGTGCGTCGTCGCGTGAGGCTGCGATTATAATTACTGTCGGCCTTTGTCAATTCACTGTCAGGTTCGAGGCGTGTGCACGCCATTGCTGAATCTCAGGCCTACGAGGGATGGCAGTCTCAGTCGTGTGCTTGAATGGAAGCATTATGCTTGGGCATGTGTTCTCCCTTGGTTGCCATTCTGTCTCTAGCCTTGTCCTTTGTCCTTCCTGGCAATGTGTGCTTCTCAAGCCCACTTTATAAATTCATTGTTGTTTCTGATTTGTAATTGTTCATCGATGCATACCCTCTGCTTTCTGTTTCTCAGCATAAATCTGAAAGCATTAAACACCGAAATTCATATTTCTTGTTACATTCTGTGTCAAACTAATTTTCACTGAAGGTGTTTGATGCAAATTGACCAATGTTGCGGACAGTAATTTTTGATTAAAAAGGACCACTTTCCTTGAAATAAAATGCAACTTAAACTGTGAAAATTTACAAAGTAATGCCTCTACGAAAGTCGTTTTTAACATGCTGAAGGCTTGCAATAATCCTTGGTAGTTGAACCAAAGCAGTTTTTTTACGTGCGGTCTTGTTGCGTGGTTGTACGACATGTCCAATTTTTATAAACAACATTACAAATATCTTTAGTGATACAATTTGGTCACAGTGTAGCGAGTCCAACTAAGTTGCAGACGTCTTGGGAGCAACACGTTTTTATTAAACTCTTAGCACAACATACTCCAGGCTATTTTAATGTAACAATTCAATACTTCATGTCTAACAATTATCCACAAGTCCTAGTTTTGTGAGTGGGTTCGCTGAACATGCTATACATTTACATTCTTACATAATTAAGTGCTAACATACACTTAATGCTGCCTAATTACATTTTTCTATGCATGTATTTTTGTTTGAATTCGTGCTGTTTATTCGTTTGGTTTGTTAAAGTAGTGGTATGAATAGTCATAATTGTAATTTTCAATTAAAAGTCTCAGTCTTAAAAATAACTTTACATGGGCGCCATGTTATTGGTTTTGTTAGGAGTTCCAAGAATTAGGGTTTGGAATGTGGCAGCACAACATACTAAACATACTTTGAGGAAAGAACCCACTCATGAAGACTTAACACTCAATTCCCTGCCATCCAAGTACTAACCAGACTAAACCGGCTTTGTTTCTGAGATCTGATGAGGTTGGTTGAATCCAGGGTGATTTGGTTCTTCAAAAAAATACCTGTTCGCAACTATGATAACATTTCATATTTTGTGTGAATACATTAGAGTAAGGTGCCATTTCGTAGCCGCTCATCCCGAGCTATAAATGCCCTTTGTACTGTTTACCTTTTGGCGTCCTCTGGTTTATGCTGGTGAAATTAGGCCCAAAAGAAGGCTGTTTCTAGTGTAGACCAATCGGTTTCAAAGACAAGACATTATCAGAGCATGTTTTTATTTGCATGTTCACCACAAGTACGTGTGGTTAATACACACATGAATCATTGCAAAAGTTTTCTATTTGTTGTTTGAACATCTAAACACCTGTTTGTATTGCTAGAAAGGCTAAAGCCTACTGATTTTTTTTCATACATTAGAGTACTGATTGAGAAAAAAGATAAACAACCTGTATTTGACACATTCCACCAAACGACACGCTGCTCAATGGGAAACAGCTCGTTTGCATCGGCTTACCGACACTGAGCTGTTAAGAAATAAATATTTGTTTTTAGAATATGGAAAGCTGGAAAATTTGCACAAATAAAAAATGTGGAAATTGATTCAAATTAGCTGCCATTTCTCCTATTTCGTCATGGTCTCCACAAGTCCAGCGACCAAGGGGAAGAGCGGGTGGAAGGATGCTGTAAGGGCAAATCTTGGAGGTCGCTTAGTCTACTTTGCAGCAGATGTGGGATCTGGCAGAATGCGTTGGTGAGGTGTGGTAGTATCAAGAGTTTTGCCCATGGTAAAACCGTCATTATATTGGAAATTCAGTAACACCTTGTGGATTGGAGGGTTTAAATCGCAAAATAATCTTATATGATTGCTGTAGTCAGTTGTCAACAGTTTACAATGAAAATCATGTTCAGACTACCAACAGAAACTGCAGTAACCCATCCAATATAAATTACAAAGGAAACACCAACCATTAGAAATCACTAGTCTGTTTGTGGTGCTTTAATTGTATTCTGGTGGTGCGTTCCATGGAAGGATGGGTGCTGCTGTTTGTGCCATGAATATTTGCCCAAGGGACAATAATAATAATCACAGACGGTGAAAATATGCCCACGACGGCTTGTGTTTTTCTTGACAGAGCAAGAAAATCAGCTGGTGGCACTGATCCCATACAGTGATCAGCGGCTGAAGCCCCGAAGGACGTACGTGGTTTGTCTCGTCTTGTGATTAGCAGTGACTGGCAAGGATTGTCTGGTTATAACACACCTCCGTCCAGAGATATGTTACTCTTTATCACAGTGATTTGGAGGATGAACATTTTTTATCCTATTATCACCCATGGTAATCATTAATGTATGCCACTTGTCATTGCTGCAAGACTCTACTTATCCACAATAAATTTGCAGATAATAGGAAGCTGTCCTGTAGTGTGAGAGAGGAAATGTGACGATTGCAGCTAATCGGACTCCGAGCCATGCAGATGTTAGTTTACTGTATTAATGTTTCAAACCCACCACACCAAGCCACTGGTAGTTATTAAATAATTGCTCGTGATATTGGTTTAATTTTTATAATGTAAGTGCCATAACAGTGAAATGAGAGAAACCAGAATTATAATACAGGCAGTACAATTTTGGTGAATGCCTTTATATAAATTGCAAGAAGTAGCAGCATGCACATGTGCTATGATACAGCACAGAGGTGTAATACTTTGCATTGCCATTTTTTTATATCCGCGGCATTCGTTCAATAATCGATAAAAAAAAATCCTGTGGTAAACTGAATAGTATGCTTCGTGTAAAGTGAAAAAACAAGGCTTTTGACATTGTTTAGCCACAATGAAAGTTATAAATGGGCAGACTACGAAATTTTACATAATTATGTGGTGGTTAAGTCATGGTGTAATACGATTTACAGTTTAGTTGGTTTTTACAACCTGCATATGCTCCATCTGACCTTGTTTAAATGTGATTTAACATTCTGATGTGATTGATGCTTGCAAATTCAGTCGCTGTTCTCTTTCGCTGTAAACTAAACAGTTGTCCAAAGTTAATGCAACACAAAAAATGTATCGAATACAAAATTAAATGACATTTGCATTCAAATTGAGCAGGGAACAAATTTACTAAAATTAAGTGTACAGTATGTGTGTGCGTGATCGAAACCTACCCAGCAGGTTCATAGTATAATTAAGTGCCTGTTGCGTTCCGTCTCTGCCAACTATTTGCAACTTTACATTTTATTATTTCTATGCCTTTTGGAAACACTTGTTTACCTCAATTATTTGCTTTTTATATATTAAATACATTACACTTCGAGGATACATTTGCATATTCAATTGTATGCCCAAATTTTTTAGTACATTTTGGGTTTTCCTTAAGTGGCTCTTAGTCTGTGGAAGTTTAAATTCATTTAAAGATTACACAATTTTAATCTAGGCTTAATTTTTCATCTCGACAGCAGACTTGCTATTCATCTCATCACTCTCCACATCTTTCTGTGATGTAACAATCACACAAGTTAACTTCATCACTCCATGCCTGCAGCCCTTGCTATCTTGGCTGTGTTCACTCCTTTGGGTGCCACTCTTGAGTCTAGACGATCAGCGTCATCTCTTGTTGCGGCGTGTCCTGCCCAAGCACGCTCATATTTCTCAACACAAGTTTGAGACTTGTAATTGGCTGTTTAGATACGACTGATGTGTTTTTCATTATAATGGCCTGTCCCTTGCTATTATTGCAGCTCTAGTCCAGTCTAGTGTGCGGCCACATATTACGCACCGCATGTTGACGTAGCCTAACATTGCACGACTTTGACGCCATGTGTCGCATACAGCAAGCTGTACGTGTTGCTGTCGGTCTTGTCCTGCCTGCTTGTGTCGGGGCTCATCGTCTACTTCCTGTTTCCGCGCTCGGTGGACGTCACCAACGGAGGCATCAAGTCGGCGCTGGTCACTTTCAACGCCAACACCAGCACGGTCTACATAAACATCACGGTACGCGGTGCCGGGTGACCGATACGAGTTCACTCCTGATTTGAAGCTTTCGTGACTGCAAGGATTCGTACTCTTAGGTTTTTTCGGTAAAGTCACGTGGGTAAAAATAAATAATTAAAATATTATAAATAATAATATACATTATTATACTAATTTTAAATTATAATAATAATAGAAATAAAATAATAAATCTAATTAATACAGTAAATTCAGCTGTGACGGTCCCACCTGATGACGAAGACTTGTGTTGCCTCCGAAATGCTGTGATTTATAATATTATTTCTATTATTATTTCTATTATTTATTTCTATTATTTATTTTTACCTACGTGACTTTACCGAAAAAACCTAAGAGTATGAGTTCACTCTTCATGTGCCAAACGCGGTTTTGCCAAGTGGCCGGACAGGAACAGCCTGGCGGTCGTCTCACTTGGCCGCTGCCTCAGCTTAAAACGGGCTGCTGATGCCATTCTGGCAAAGCATGCCATCTGTTATATGGTTGTTAATAAATAGCCTACAATTACATGTTCAAGGATATGCCTGTGTGCCAGGTCATAGCTTAAAATTGACAGATTTAAATGTGTATCTACTACTTTATTGTGAAACATGACATTTTTAGTCATGTAACTTACGGTTTGTCATATTTATATTTGCAAACGTTCTAAAATATTTCCTAGCTCTTTTGTGTAATTGAACCTTATGGCAGGACCCCAGGTACCATAAGTCCCCGGCTCTCTCATAAACTGTGTTCCGACGTCATTTTATGTCTGTTGAAAGCGAACGATCCGGCAATCTATTCCTCTCGACGAGTTCTACGCGATGCGCTAATCAAAGTTTCAAAGTTTTGTTTCTTCTGCGCATTCGTCCTCGCTGCGCTTGCACGACATGACGACAGAATGATTAGTCCCAGGTGGGTCGTGCCGTTTATGTGTGCGGTGGAACGGAGTCGGCAATTTTTTTTATTAATTACGATTTTGACTTCCGTTTATTTGGAACCCCAGGGTCCCGCTGTAAGGTTCATTTGCTAAACTGGACATGCAACACGACAACATTGCACTGTAGGCTGAGAGGCCTGAAGAACCCCTTTTTCAATTTTGACCTTTCTTGGGTGTGCTAAATTCTCATTATTGTAGCTCTCGTATTTTTTTTATGTCCGTTTGTTTGGAGGTGTCTTTTAAAAGCGGCATACGTAACTGTGAATCATTGACAGGTTATTCAACAGTTGCTGCATTGTGGTGTACAGTGGTTCACTAAGCTGCCTTTCTTCCACAGAGCTCCCTGAACATTACAAACAACAACTTCTACTCTGTGTACGTGATGAACATCACGTCGCAAGTGCAGCACCTCAAGACCGTCATAGGCACGGCACGCTTCACCAATGTCACCCATATCGCCCCACTCAGCCAGAGCCAGGTAAGAAAATACACACGCCAACATGCACATCTGTTTGCTTGTGAAGATATACTCCCCTTATATTCCCTGTATAATTTTAGAAGTACCGTAGGGAGTGGAGCTGTATGGTGGGCAGCAGAGGGGTAGTGCAGGATATTCCATTGTTGTACTGTGTTTATATGCTACCACGCCTATGCTTCCTACCTTCAACCCACATTCACCAGTGTCGTCAACTATGGTATAAACAACTCCCATGACCTGCATGGCATGGAAAGGCCCTTATTAAACAGTGGATTGATTAAGGGCTGTACAGGTGTCGTGAGACCAACTGAGTCGCAGACGTCTTTGGAGCAACACTATTTCAGTAGCTCAACATAACACAACCTACACTTGGGTGTTGAATGCCCATCTAGCCACGCTACGGCAGAACTAGACACGGTTCGCTATCCCGGCCCGGACCACAAGCTGGGTCCCGGACCGCGTGGCTAGAGGCTTCTTTTATCCGACGTGGATCTTTTTCACCAGCAACACGAAGAACCCCGAGCCCCTCACGGGGGCCCCGTTATATTGGCCTGGGCTGGGGCTGACTCCGCCCCTCGCCCCGCCCACCTTCTAGATCTCTCGCTCTTTCCCGAAGGCTCCCAAAGAGCTCTTTTAGACCACGTGACCGCCCAGCGGCCCCCGTCCACCGGTGGCTCCCCTCCAATATAATCCGGTCACGTGTCGGCAGGTCAACCAGCGTATCATGCCCCAACGTAACCCTGGCTGGCTGACACTCCCTCTCGCTCCCTCACCGGGAGCCCGCACTGCACACTGTACGTGGTGCCTCCGCGCTGACCTGCGCTCACCCAAGCCCCGCTAGGGCTGGTACTACGCCGAGTAAACGGGCTACACATAATGCCAACACATTAACCGCCGTGGCTTCGTAAGCCCGGCACCACAAAGTGACATTCACAGTCACTACACAGGTACTGTAGGGGACCTCCTATTGAAGCACATTGGCCTTTGAAGAAGCGGGTTGATTATAACTGTACCCGACTGCATTGGTCTTCCTAGTGCTTTTGTTGACTGCACAGCTTGCAAATATGAACTTATTTAAAAAATTCCAACATATGCTTATACTTGCACACATGTAAGCTCTCGATATACTGCCTGCAAAGGTGATGATTCATTGCCTAGGTTTAAACAGCATGTTAATGTGCAATTGGAGTAAACTAACAACTTAAATGCTCATGCAAGTGAGTTGTTAACGTCAGTTAATGAAAAGCCAAGCTATCTCGCTGTACTGGAGAAAATTTAGATTTTTAAAATTAATTTAACATGAGCCTTTCTACTGGCACAATACAAGAACGTCACCTATGACACTTTAACTCAAGGTTCTCGAGCAGAGAACCTACTGTCCACCAGCTTCTCTGCTAGGGAACCTTGTGGGTAGGCCTCGGCAAGGTAAGGTAAAAGTGTAAAAACAACGAGCCTACCTTTTACTTTACCCTTGGCATGTCGACACCTTTACCCTTTTACCCGGTAAAAACGGTCAAATTACCTTACCTTGCCGAGGCCTACTTGTGGGTAGCTAAGGGAACGGGCACAGGCATCGAGGCTGCTTAAGTATGGCTATGGCTGTCAACTTGGAGTTAGGGAGCAAAATCAATTCTCAAGAAATGGGTTTTCAATCTAAATGATTTAAAAGTGCACGTCTCCAGTGGCTGCATAATATTAGAAAGAAGAACATTCCGCAGAAGCGCATCCGAAAGCGCGCAATATACTGACCATCTTTGTTCGATAGCCAGCGAAAAGCTGCTTGGAGGATGAAGGGAGGGAGCTTACTTACGGGCGCTTTCGAGAGGGACCCGAGAGAGATTGGCGCAGAAGGATACCAATAAGCTCTATCTTGGCATAGGCTGCTACACTTCTTCACCAGCCACCTCATCTGAAATCATTTTAAAGTAAACTTATTCGTATCAATGTTTCTTCAGCTTGCATTGCAATGTGTTGTTTGTTTTGTTGATGAGCAATGTTGATCTGGGTGTGTCTCCTGCTTCAGATCGACTTCACCATCAATACAGAGATCAGCGCTGGTTTATCTTACGTCTAGTAAGTTTGATTTTCCCCCACCATCTTGATTTCTGCAAATGTTGCATAGGTTAAGATTTTGCGCCAAAAATTTGCTCATTTATTTTAACATGTTTTTTTCCCTGCAGCTACTACTGCACCTTGCCATCAATCAAAGTCCACAACATAGTGGTGCTTATACAGTAAGTGCAATCACTTTTACCTTTATGCAAATGCACTTATACTCTTTGTCCATGCGCACAAAATGTTTCAGAAATATTCCGTTTCCCTTTCGTTATTTGTCATTTTGACGGGGTTGTGTTCTCTTGACGTGGAGGTCATGTTGGTTAAATAACAAGGTTCACAAAGTGGATATTGAGAAATTTGGATGTTACAGGTCTTCCGACATAATTATAAAAATATTAGGCTATTGTTCGGCAGTGTCAAAGCTATAAGAGGTACAAAAATTACCACAATTACATTGTAACAAATTGGTATCTGAGTGGCCCAGGGGACTTAATTCAATGTTGCAGAACTGAGCCAGCACCTCTGATATTCTGGGTTAGAGTCCAGGCAGCCATCCTTGATTTAAAATTGGATCTGAAGTATAGCCAGTTAATCTCATCCCAGTCAATGAAGATTGAAAAAAGAACATCGTGTTACATTTAGACCTAATTTGGCAAAGTGTGACCGAGAATTATAAATGTGGTTCTATTTGAAATGGGATAAACACTTTGCTTAGTATATAATAAAAGGGATGCCTTGAGTGTGAATACATTTGAGCCTGAAGTAGTTGAGTAATGTCACCTTATGGGAATAGTCTCTGATACAGAGTGATGCACTTGTTTCCTGCAAAAGGTGCAAAAAAATAAATTGGGAGAAATACGAGAAATAATTTTTTAAAGTTATCCATGTGCAAATTAGATCAAGGATTCTATTTCAAAACTGATTTGGAGGCTTGCACAACAATGAACACTGGATTGGCTAAATGGAACAGAATGTTGGTGTACGGTTACATCACCATTGCCACCGCTAAGCGAAGATGATAATGACTTTTCTTTACCCACGCAGGTCAACGGTCACGACTTCTTACGTGTGCCATGCCGAGCAGGACTCCATTGAGAGCTACGAGTACGTGGATTGTGGCTCCAACACAACATACCACCACGGTCGCTTCGGTGTGGCCCCCGCTGGGGGCTCCAACCATCTCGTCTGAAGGCGCCTCCCCCACCCACCGTAGGATTAAGATGCTGTGACGTATTGCACAATCCCTTCAGCATAGGCATCGTTACGGAAAGGTACGGCCATTCCTGCAGCTTGTAGGGGCGGGGGGGGGGGGCATGCACGAAGAGGTGCCGAGTTTATTTTTAGGGCGTGCCAGTACGCCCAGGTGTCTTAACCATGCAAGTGCAGTCTGGATATTGTCCCACAGAGCCATCTGTCAGGGCTTGTGTTTTTGCATGGATGTGTTTGTCTCATTCTTCCATTTGTGCATTATCACAGCTGTGTTGGTGGGGTGATATTTTTCCACTTAATTTATATTGTTGCTCTGAAGAAATGTTGCTTCAGCAGTGTGGAAGGCTAAGCATTGTCCCAATGTATTGCAAGTAAAATGGAGACCCTTACGAAGGGTTTACTCATGTTTTGAGTGTTTGTGAGCATAATGCATTTAGTCTACACACTTCATGTTATCACCCCTCCCTAAAACCCTGTTTTGGACACCAATATTTTTCCTTATGCACACGTTCATTTAGCAAGTCAGTGTTTTTGCATTGTCATATTGTTGAACACTGTTAATGGTTTTTGCACATTGTTACCGCTATCATTGGAATGCTAAATAAATGTTTAGGAAGCATTTTTAAGGAATAAGTTAGCGGTAAAATTTACAGTTGACAATGCTGGATTGGGGTAATTCAACATGCCTTGTTATATTTGTGTTGTATATTAGACATTTAATGAGTGTAGAGTAAACACGATGTACAGTATTACCAAACATGTTGACATTTTAATTTCCAATAAATAAAATGTACATGTAATGATTACAAATAGAAGGTAAATCGTAACTATTGTTGGTATGTCCAGAGATTAGTGCCAAGATGAGGCAATGGAAATTACACCATTATTTGAATACACAGAAAGAAATACACACTTGCACCCCCAAGTCTTGATTCAAGAGCAGTGCCTAGTGGATATTATGGGAAGTTACTAACTTCTTAACATAACTTTTGTACTGTAATTAAAATAGATACTTTTCGAACCATAGCACGCTGTAATAGAGGTTTTTTTTTGGCTTAGGTCGCGTGAATATAAATGTTTGTTAAACCTGCCACCACCTGACACAGCCAATTAGTAAGGTTTGTCACGTAAATGGAACATGCCGATTTATTACAACATTTACAATCAGAGTACGATGTTTTGCCAGTCTCGCCAGTAATTATAACTGGCATCAGACGGCAGTCAGATTTTGCTTCTTTTGTTTACGTGACAAACCTTACTAATTGGCTGTGGCGGGTTTAACAACACATTTACGCGATCTAACCTAAAAAAAAAACCTGTGGATTATATTGGTCACGAAAGCTTACGTGTTATATGATAGCAGCACACTGCTTTGTTGCATAAAAATAAATAATTAAAAACTGCAGGACTTGGTGAAAAATGTTCTTGGTATCTTCTCTGTATTTTAATCTTTGTGATCTTCATTCTTTGGATAACATGAGAAACCTGTGGAACCTCGGACTATTATATGATACACCGTCTTTTGTCGTGAATGCTTGTACCGTTTATTTGCTGGATGCTGCTGACTAGTTTATTAAGCCAAGTATAAAGCATACAAATACATGTTCCCAATGTGGTTTTTTTGCCTTTTCATTTCCAATATTGTGTCATTGACCAGGATAAAATATTGAATATTTTGTGTTTTAGAGATGGCTGGGTGGCTGGGGGATTTGAGCAATGAGCCAGCATCACCTGAGATTCTCAATTCCAATACGGAGCTATCTGTGATTAAGGGTTCTCAAATGTACCAATTTGATTGTACCACAATAGATACCTATGACTACATGCACACGCAAGTCATTTTGGTTATTCTCTTAATATGCAAAAGAAGCCCCAGCTCTGAAAATATATGAATGATTGCTAATGGTGTGTGTGTGTATTTAAAAGGAAAGGTTTTATTGTATAATATAGACTACCATATTACACCAGCAGACAAAATAAATCTGGCTGTCGCCTGATGAAGCTAGTTGTAATTACTGGCGAAACGTCGTACTCTGTAAATGTTGTGACTTGGTTCTCTAACACACCGGTGTGCTGTACTAGTAATGAATCGGCATATTCTGTTTACGTGACAAACCTTACTAATTGGCTGTCGGGTGGTGGTGGGTTTAACGACACATTTACCCGATCTAACTTAAAACAAACCCTGTATTATGGATATTATTCGCAAAAGCCAAAGTGTTAAACAGACACAACGGCATTGTGCCCCTGTGATTGGGGACTTCCATGTCAGGACCAAAGATGGAGGAGGCATATACTGTCCAGTGTTTGGTGGGGAGCTCTGCTGCGAATGACAACTGCACACATGCACCACACACCGGCGTATTCTGAACTCTTGAAATTGCCGAGCGCTTTACCTAGTGCGACACACTGGGTTTTCCATGGGTAGCTTTTGGTGGACAGGGTCCTGAGTTTACCCAAAATGGTAGAAAACCCCTTTTGCTAAATCCCACTGAATGCAGATACTTAGTTGGTCTTCTAAATGGCCCATATTTTTATTCTCTGTAGAGCTGAGATGATTAATCAATAAAAAAAAAACACGAATTTTGTAGTTGATTACTTGAGCTTTTAAAATGTTGGCCACACCCCACATCCTGGCTCTTGAACGTTGGAAACTCCCTATAAGCCATGCGAGAAGGCATTTAATGAGGCTAATGGATATTTAATTGTCACTGATGAATACTGTATACGGATTGGAGAACAAATGAAAACTAGTCATTGAAGTAAACTGAACTTGGGCAGCGCATCACTCAAAGGGATGATAGGCGATGGAAGAGACTTGTCGGAATGGCATTCAAAGGAGAAACATGGCCAAGGGTGTGACCACTGCAGAGATCGAGCATTGCGATAAGTTCGTGTATGGATTGTGGCATTGCGACAAACTGGGGAGGCATCCATTTAGCAGTGGGTAGATCATGTCTGATGGTGATGCCGAAATATTCCTTGGATGTAGCATTATACCAGAAGTGGCATATCTAACAACAGTTACAGGGGGTTGCATACGTGATCGGCTGCAATAGAATGGATGTACTGCATAAGCTAGTATCAAGACGTCACGGGAGAAGACGAGTTACCTGCGTTTGTGGCTGTCGCAGATCTCATGTAAAACCCCTTGCACACATTTTCACCCTCAAAGGTACATATCCATGAGTGGAGATCTGCTCTTATTCGTTCAGTATATACAAAATAGCTCAGACTAATAATTAAACCCATCTCTATTATTTCACTAGTGACAAAAATATTTGAAAGAATACATCAAAAACAAACTACCTAAAAAATCAGTGTAAACAGTCTGGTTTTAGAGAGGATTACCTCACCATCACAAAAATTATGGATGTATTCAATTTTCTTTTTAGTAACCTGAATAAAAGCCATGACGGCTGTGCACTATTCCTCGACTTGTCAAACGCCTTTGATGTTGACCATGGTATTCTGCTCAAGACTTGGTCAACTCCAATTTTCACAGTGCAATACAATAATTTAAGAGTTCCCTCTCAGACTCTCAAAAGGAAACAACATATCGTCTACAAATATTTAAATAGTGTTCCCCAGGGTTCCATGCTGGGTCTTATATTTACACAATCTTGGACCAAACTTAAATCACTCGAATTAAATATTTGCTAATGACATTGTCATGCGAGTATCAAATAAATCTCCAAACGAAGTCAAACTATCTCCAACATGATTTCGATTAAATTGAATGTAATTTATCACTAAAATGGCTCCTAAATCCCAAAAACGAAGCTCATGCTTTTCAAACATCCAGTTTAATTCCCTTCCCCTGTTACAGATATTGGAAACAACAATTGAACAAACGGAATGCTTCAAATACTTGGGTTTACTGTTTGATTCAAAACTTACGTTACAACCCCATAATGAATTCATCTCAAAGGAAGTAAAATAAAAATAGGGGTTTATTTATACAGTTTTCCCATCCGATTGTACCTGCAAATCGCTGTTTTGACTATTGTGATGATGCTTACAGATTATCTACAAATGAAACACTAAACAGACTAAACCCACTTCATAATTGTCTTTGATTTGTGCTGGATGTACCATACAGGATGCACCATTGTGACTTTACTTAAAATCAAAATCTACATTGGGGCCTGTTCATCCATAAAATCCTGATTGGCAAATCTGCACTAAACTTAGCCCCATTGTCAAACCCAAGAAACTTAACACGTCCATCGAACTTCCTTTTCACTATCCCTAGAAGTTGACAAGAAGGATCACGCCGTGGAATTAAGGAAAAACAACGCAGGAGTGCTACAAAACGTTTATTTCATCGTTTATTGATGACTGCCCTGTGTCCTCGATCAAGTGCATCGCTAGGAAAGAACAAGGCACATTTTTTCGACTTTGCACTCATGTAGTTTTTTTGTATTGTTTGTTGTAACCTGCGGACCCGCACCTGCTGGACATCTGTGACAAAAGCTTCATAGCTCATCAGACTCCATCGAGCATACATTTTCTCATATTCTATGGGTCTTTCGGTAAAGCCACGTAGATATAAAAATTATTGAAAAAATATCAAGACGTTTCGATCGCAATACATGCAATCGTCTTCAGGTGAGCGAGAGAAAGTTGTTGAGACAAGGTCTTATATAGGCCTGAGATGGGGTGCATCAAGATAGTTGGGTGGAGCTAGAGATGGTCCAACCACAGGCTGGGGCAGTGGCCTTTGTATTGTGAGAGGTTAGCATGTCAATGGCTGGGGCAATGGCCTTTGTATTTCGATTTAAAGCTTTCGTAACTGCAGCGATTCATCTTCTTGGTTCTTTCGGTAAAGTCACGTAGAAGGGAAATAATAAAATAATAAGAATAAAACAATAAAATCATTCTCACAGATGAGAATAAAAATAAAACATAATAAAATCATTCTCACAGATGAGAAATGTTATTTTGTTTTATTTTTATTATTTTATTATTTCCCTTCTACGTGACTTTACCGAAAGAACCAAGAAGATGAAGGCCTTTGTATTGTGAAAGATTAGCTTGTAGGGCGCCACCAAAGCTGTGGAGGTGGCTATTGTATTGTGTGGAGCCCAAGGGTAAGTGGGCAGGGCGAGATATGGTATTTGCATGTAAATGTAAGATCGGAGGGCGCCCTGAGGCTGTGGAGGTGGCCATTGTATTGTGATAAATTAGCATGTCAATGTATGAGAACCACCGCAACGGTGGATGTGCAAGTGAGACATTCAGCTCGTTGAAAAAAAATACAAAGGCCACTTTTTTTTCTTCTAGATTTGTCAATCTTATTTGACAGACAACTATTACAGTTTTACCATGTTTAGTGGTTGTCTCCCTGTCACAGGTTGATTCACAAACCGTACCTCTCCATAACAAAGGCTCACCCTCTTAAGCCTCACCTTACCATATTAATAAAAAGTATGCGGTCCTTGCCCTACCACCTTCTCCAACCATTATATAAACGGAGTGGTAGCTCCTGCAATATCTCATTTACTTGATACAGCTGTCGTGGCTGTGACGGTCCCACCTGAGGACGGAAGCTTGTGTTGCCTCCGAAACGTCGTTATTTTTATTTTATTTTACTTTTTTAATGTTTTACCTACGTGACTTTACCTAAAAAAACCTAAGAATACAAAGGCCACTCCCTCAGCCTGTGGTTGGACCATCTCTAGCTCCACCCACCTACCTTGATGCACCCTTCTCAGCCCTATATAAGACCTTGTCTCAACAGATTTCTCTCGCTCACCTGATGACGATTGCTTGTGTTGCGATAGAAACGTCGTGATATTTTTATTATTTTTCTACGTGGCTTTACCGAGAGACCCATAGAATATGTCTTCCTGCAGTCAGTCACGAAAGCTTTAAGTCAAGATACATTTTCTCATTCTGAAAGCATGGCAGTGGAGATCTTCCAGAAGCGATAGAGAACTTCCAGAGGTTGTAGCCATCCAAATTTGGAGGAGTTCTTCCGGGAGCGGTAGACATGCAAAGATGTCAGTGGGTTTCAGGGAGCGGTAGACATGCAAAGTTGGCAGTGGTCTTCCGAAATATTTGATTACGCAAAGTCGCTTCAAATATGACGTTAATTCACAGAAAGCGACGGTAAAAAATAAGAGCCCCCCGCCCCTTCATTAATTTAGACACATGCCGCACCCCTCCCCAATAACCATTAGCGGGTGACGTCACTCCACATGGGGCGACCCCCCCCCCCCCCCTCATTAATAATCATGAGCTGAACAAATTTTCTATTGAATATTTCAGATTTACTGCAAAACACACCCGTCCTTGGACGGGCAAAAAAGCCAGTGAGCCAAGAATGTCGATATGCAACGCTCGTGACGTCACTCCACGTGGGCCAGCCCCCCTCATTAATAATCATGAACAGGTTACGTCCTTTTCGATTTAAAGCTTTCGTGACTGCAGGGATTCATCTTCTTGGTTCTTTCGGTAAAGTCACGTAGAAGGGAAGTAATGAAATAATAAAAATAAAACACGTCGTGAGAATTGTTTTATGTTTTATTTTTATTATTTTATTACTGCCCTTCTACGTGACTTTACCGAAAGAACCAAGAAGAGGAGGTTACGTCCTC